TATTTATGCATAATTGGTAACATTCTCGTGAAATTTGAACGAACTGATAGTTAATATAATTCTCATAACTTATTTCTAGGTCAACCTACGTGTTTCTCAAACAAGTTCCGTTTATGATCACGTGATCCCAAATAGATTACAACTTTAGACATAATAATCTTGTTTGGACAATGTTCGGTAGGATAAAACTTTATAAAAATACTCTCTAGCAACCTTCAGCTAACTTACTATAGAATAGAACCAATCAGGCTGATCTCTAGATTTTGCCATACAGATCGGCGTGATCTAAACGTTAGATGGCCGTTTCTGTTGTTTGGGGCACAGCTAGTTCACCATTAGTGTATGTGGGTAAATTAAGTTTCCAGACCCTTATTATTTCTGTATCTGTCGGGTTAACTAGTTTGCATGAACCACTATAAATAAGATAGAACGATCAATTTACGAATAATTTACAAATTGCAAGTTCTACCTTGACATTCTCTAGCTGGTCATCTGGTGCCAGTCAACAGGTTTTCCGCAACCAGGACCGAATTGTGTGTATGATCTCTAACACAAATGTGTCATCATTTGACCGGATATTACAACTACGGAACAATTTGAGTAGTTAAATTGGATCAACCTGAATGATTACAAACAGTAGTAGTAAATTTGGCTACTTGATGTTACTTTTGTGTCATTATTGTGATCTTGGCTTCGGGGTAGTTTCCAACTGAAAGCTTGTTAACTGGCACCACGACTGGCTAGTTAAAAAACTACTCAACTATGAGAAATGTCAACTCGAACTATGGAATTTGTAAATTATTGACAAAAGGAGTTAGTCTTGCAAACTGATCTCCTTAAGAAATCAGTAGAAGCTTTGTAATGTCCTGACATGTACTACTATTACTAGCATTCATGATGTCTTAAGATCAACATATTTTATAGGAGAAAAGTATAGAAAACATTTCTTCGGATTTGTTACAGATAAGACTTAATTATAACAATAGTTAAGTTTTTCAATTACAATTTCCTTGTATAATCTTTATTTTTGTACATAATGTGAATAATTTATGGCTAACCATCTAAAAGTATCTTCAACTCTCCAGCCTGAACAGAAAATTAACAAAAGATGACTCTATTCCTACAGTAGCCACTTGGATAAATCTTTTATTTATGGAGCAATGGATATTTGGTTTGATTCTCAGTAGAAAGATTAATGTACTGAGAAATGGGTAAGGTCGAATAACGACTATTTCATAGAAGGAATTGAATTTATACTCATTACTAAGTATTCTTATCCTTTGTAAGTTATTGTCATTACAAAGTCACCTTTAGTTGCAATAATGGATATCAAAGACACTTCAGATTGAATTTCTATTCTCCATCTATACGTAGTTGAGTTGTCAGAAAGTCTTTGTTGAACAAGTTATGATGAATATCTACTACGTTCTACATTCAATTAACTCTCAAGAGATAAAGGATTGACACAGAAGAACTTGATAGTTATTTACATCGTCAAATGGTTCGACATTTTATCACTCTTTTACATACATAGAGTTCTCTTGTCATTCTTACACTCTAGTAAAGGGTACTACGCATATATCAACAAAATCTTGTATTTATTGTACAGTAAATGTAGTAAGATTAGTTGAGTTTATTTTATGTTTTATCTCACAAAACTATTGAAAAACTTATTTAACATCAAATAATGTGAGTAAAAAGACCAACTTATGAGGAATGTTTTTCAGATTCCATTTCACTGTAGTTATATCATGTTTTAAATTGAAACGTAAACCTGTATTATAGTAGCATTTTATCAAAAAGATATGTTGATCCAAACACGGCGGTAACTTAGATGTTTTTGAAAAGGTTCATTCATCTTTTGTATGGTGTTATTTACTTGGTGGTGGCTAGCAGTGGAATCTAGGACGCAAAATTCCTCCCATTTCGGACTCGTCAGCTAAATGTACCTACATCGCAATCAATGATGTTGTTTTCACTGAGATTCTCATCCAGTACCTACGAAACGCGCATTCTTGATTCCATTACTAGTCAGCAAAATGAATACAATATCAAGGATATCTGGTTGGAGCCCATATATCAACAGTGGTCGATCATTTCAATCTACAATATCACCTAAATGAGTTTAGCACACTGATATCAGTGCCAATAATTGCACAATTTCCCTGTCTTAGGCTCACGCGTGTTGTTCACGATTCCCAAACCGAGAGAAAACAGTTCCCTAGTACTCCTAGGTTTCGTTTATTCTCTAACTGTTGCCTATCAGTCGTGGAAACTACTTTCAATTCCATTTTTGTTTACAGGTAAAAATTAGTAGATTATGTGTTTTTAACTATAACCTCTGAAACTTGATAGAATTAAACTTTCTTATAATTCATTTCGGTAGTGTTGGTACGTTTGTTAATCATGTATACATTTTTGAAGTGAGAAAATCTGCAGAAAATGTATAGCTTATAAACTGTCTTTGTTCTTTCTGCACACAGATATATGTGAGAGGAATTACTTCTTACTTAGTACACTTCTAAGGACTTCAGTGTAATCTCGTTAATTGTTCATAAGATGCTGAGTTTTTGACCAATGGTCGATCCAACAGATCGACATCAACCTTGCACTTGATGCAGAAGTACATCCATTCAGATTGTCACACTCTACAGAAGTGAGTAAAGTACAAGTGGGTGGAAAAAGTGATATTAAGGTAAACAGACGGAGGTTACCGATGATATTTAAGACATTAGAGGTTGAAAAGAAAATACACATCTAAGCCACTGTTGCTAATTTTAAGCTATATCACTAAGAGTCTCTGGTCTTTAATTCACATCGTTTTGATGACCACATCCAGGCACTCTAAAACCCTCTCACATAGCTTACAGAATGAGCCAAACGCTTCATAAATTGGTGCCATGTTTTGGTCTGACCGCCATTAACATTCTTCCAGCACAATCCTACTTTGGTTAACATCCGAGGTCGAGATAGGCAGCACCTTGAAAGGTGCATAACATGTCCAAACCAATTTAGTCGCTGAAGGTTGGCAGCCTCATCAACTGACCTGCCTTTCATTCTGTAGTATCCCCCGCCTTAACTCAAGATTATTTGCACATGGATTTCAATACATAACAAACAATGCTACGAAAAAGCTTGCTATGAAAAATCGTTAAACTCCCCAGGTCTGCAGCTTTCAGGAGCTATGTTCCACAGTTACATAGTCGGGGAGAATGAACTCTTTCAAAGTGTACTCACCATTTGATAGCTAGTGGAATATCTCTCTGATGGCAAGAATGACGTAGCTTCATAAGAGTCGAAAGAATCCTTTGTGCGCCAGTTGAGATTTCCTCCACAAGCAATATAGAGTGAGTAGGTGAAGTGTTCGATCAATAATCTCTTGGTACACATTTGTTATTAATGTTGTTGTGCTTACAAAAATAGTTATGAACAATTTGGTTTCCACCAAAGCTCATATTTGAACTACGATGCATGACTGACAAACATGCAATGAAACAATCTACTTAATTCAAATTGACTTTTCAATTTTAAAATTGGTTGTGATTAAATTATAAATAATTAGCAGTTTACATTTTGATGACACGACCAGTGAAAAATATAATGGGTATTTTATGTCAGACGAATGGGGAAAATTTTTGATAAGAAGATTTTCTACCCAACATTCAAGAGGCATCAATACAATGTATTTGATAGGATTAGAAGTAATTTTAGTTAGTTTTCCAAGGATATACAATTAAAACAATATATCTAGAAGCGGTGTGAAATTTCAAGAAATTAGTGAACGCTATTATGTAATAGGGTCTCTAAAGTAAGGAATGATTAGCAAAATTCTATGCACCCCTAAAGTTTCAGAAATTTCATGCTTAAAAATGTCAGTAAGCATGAATTTTACCTGACATTGGACGGAGAATCCTATCGAATGCTTGTCAACACTAAGTACTACTATTCATTTGGATGGATAGTTTAGCAATAAAGTATGTTGAAACATTCTTGATAAGATCATTGATGTGAATGTTTGATTAAAGTAATTTGTCTATTTTATTACAATGATATTGTCCGTCTGTGAAAACAAGACGTGAAGCCGGCATGCCATGGTGTTACACTGGAACAAAATTTCAGTACCTACAAAAAGTTATTAACTACTTTTATTCTAGTGAAGTATATAGCCTTGAAACAACAGGTGCACTTTTAAATGTAACTTTATGTCTAGACAAGCAAAGTTAGTAATTCTAGTCAACAGGCATCTGTAATCCGTAACAGTTTACTTTCCTTCAATGAAGCATGACACTATTTTTGCAGTTGAATAATTCTAGTTATTTTACGAAATATTTTACTAAAATACTGAAAAATTTACAAATCAATGAGCTTAGAATGCGTAAATGATTATTATTAAGGCATGTCTGTGATTACATTTTATTAATCCAGGAACTTTTCTCACTAGTAAAGTGGTATTTCATAACTTTATGTTTTACAAAACAAGTTTCAGTATGTGAAAAGACAAAGTATACTGGAGGTAATAGTAAAATCCCTGTCAAATGCATGAAAATATTCCTGGAACCGTCAAAGTATAATCAAATAAAAGGGCGCCCAGCAGTATAAAGCCAATTTTCTGTCGTATTCAATTAATGAACATTCTAATTAAGTAGCAGCTTACAGTTGGAGAGCGTAATCATGTTTGCACATATCTGAGGAGTTCGGCACCAAGAGGAAAAAGCTAACCAATACTTATCAGATTTTTGTTCATTCATCCATGATGAATACCACCTTTCAGTTAATCAACCTCATACCAACCTTTGAACTGAAGAAAAAACAGTTTATGATAGAAAATCAAATGCAAAACTGATAAATTCTTTTTCCAAGATACAATAAATTGTTATAATTATAGCTAGCAATCTACTACTTAAATGTGCATATTTCAGTAGCTTCCACCAAACTTGATAAAATATTTCATTCTATACCATAAATTAAGATAGATTAATCAGAAGTTTTGTTTAACTCACGAAGAATTTATAATCCACAAGCTATTGCCCTTTGATTACTACTCCAGTTGTTCATATTGTAATGATAGTATGTTTCATATGTAAAACTAATCCTTAATTTAGTTGAATATTTGACAAATAATGACAGTGATAATATTAATAATTGTTATAAGCTAATAAGCAGAGAGAAATTGTTTTCCATTTTTCTTCATTAAAAGGTTAATATTTGTGCTTATATGTGTATATTTCCAAAGGAAATCATCTTCAAAAATTGACTAGTAATCACCAAATTCTTGAAATTACTTAACAATGAAATGTTTTTTTTCAATAAAAAGGACCAGAATTTTCTGGCACATAAATTTTCTCTTGCATCTTTCGAAAGTAACAGCAGCCACACACATACATTCACATACACAAGCATTTGTAAATGTCAAACGGCGCTTGAACGTATTTTGTTGTTAGCCAATCAAAAACGAGTAAAAAATGTCTAGCCAATTAAATTGTCTGCTTGTTTTTCATTGGTCGATTGAATACAACACATTAAGGCTTTCATTCATTTGAAATGAATTCGTCATTTCGACATTGATATGAAAAAACAACACATGAAAGTAAATTTTCCAATCATTAGTATTCATTAAGTGAATAAAAGTGACCTCAACAGTGGAAGGACTGTTTGCTTGATGACATTTCGAGCACAGCATTATTGCTTAGTCTCCTAACTATCAAATCAAAGAATAATAGTATTTACTGTTAACCAACTCATGATTATGTACCAGTGGACCCACTTTTAATCCCTAGACATTCAGGCGTATTACCGAATTCATTTCCTCTAATTGATGACGTCTGCTGCATCAAATTTTAGGGATAATTCCAGAGTGAATATTGTCTCCAATTTGGATCAAGTTAAATAATTCACATTTGCTAACACTGAGTACACTGATTAGTCGATGAAGGTCAAGCAATCTCATTTTGTCTAGTCTTGAGTGCTGACCAAGTTTTACTGATCAACTTACAGTTTGGTCATCAAGCTATAAGGTTTATCAACGTGGCGTACTTTGATGGATGTTTTTGGTCACCAGTAACCAACAGGAAGCCAAGCTTGACTAAGGTTTTGTGCCTACTGGTACTTGTCGGCGAAAACTATCTCCAAATTTAGGGGAACTATTGTCTTGCTTGAGATTCACACATGCATCATCCACTATTGTAGTCAGCGACATTACCACTGAGTATTTTATAGTGGGTTCACTACATTTGATAATAATCCTACTACGCTTTCAAAACCTTTCAGGGTTATGCGTGCATAATGCGATATCTGAGATGAGACCTCGTGACAATGGCAATTTCAACTCATAACAAGTAAAGCCCTAGATTGTTGCCAGTGGAGCTATGCTGGAGAGTTGCGAGTGATTTGAAGCCAATTATACCAGTTAGCGTCTAAGCTCATATTATCTGCACTAGGAATTGGATATCATTTGATTTCACTGTTTTGAATCGCTGAATGAAATCACAAGGTAATTTTTGTTGTGCATTTCTTTTCAGTTAGGAGTTTCACAAAGGGATTGAATGCTTCTAAAGTTGTTTTTACCCCCTGAAAACCTGGGAACACTGAAGAGGTGTTTCACCTTCTTCTAGAGTTCCTCAGCAGCAAAAAAGTTCATGACCTTTGGAAATGAAACTTTTGAATATCAGATCCTTTAGATTTCAGTGATGTTCTGATTGATATTCACAAACGTTGAATAGTCTTTTGAAAGCGTTTCTGCTACCGCTACCATTTTTATTAGTCACTGATTCTCTCAAACATCTGACTGTATTCAAACATTAGGAGAGCCTAAGAACTTGATTCTGACTCCGTGAAATATTGGCAAGGAAAATATTTACATTTAACCTTACTGTCTACCTTCTTTACAAAATTGTGCATCATAAAGTCTTGTGTACAATAGCGAGCTATAATTGCATCTTGAATTTGAGTATTTCTCGAGGTCTTTTGCAAATGTGACTGAGTACTTTGTGTGATATTTACATAAATAGTTTCAAAACCTAGAAGTTCCGTTTTTTTATACATATTCACAAGTCAAAAATTAACTCTATAACTGACTGAGTTAAGCGTATTTAGATCTCCAGCAGAAAAGGTTACACATACACCTTAAGAGACGATTACGAAAAGTAAACAATAAAGAGCTTTCTACTGAAAGCGAGGTAACTTTGTATTCAGCTTGAAGTGAAGGCTTATCATGTGAGAACAAATAGATTAAAATGACAGAAAACCCTTCATGCTGCTGAAAGTAGTAATGAATGACATTAAAGTATAGCTCTGGAAGTCATTGTAGAAGATAATTCCATGTCATTTTGTTTGTTATATTAGACAGCCAACAAGTTTTATTTTTTGGATGACATTTCAAACTTTAGGAATGTTATACAATATTTTCAACGGAGCATTAAGTAACTTGGCAGATGAACATACAGAGTCATCTAGAAACAGGCTTCATTGGTTGCAGGACCCTAATGGTTGCTTCCACCGAATCTCTTCTAGTGACTGTAAATCACTAAATTAAGATTGGTAAACTTTGATAGGACTAAGGATCCAGAGAAATACTCTATCTCAGCTGTTCTCACCATAACGTGCTATAAGAGAATAGGATAGAACAAAGTCATATTGCTTATCATTAATTTAGTGGAAGGAGCAACAGATGATCAAATCCTTGACAAGTGAGTCAATGGTTAATAATCATCACTGGAAAGTCCTAAAACCTTTTAAGCACATATGGGAAGTATTACTGACAGTGAAAAAAAGTAAAAGCAAGAGAACTGTAAAAATCAAATGGTAGAGTTCTGTAGTTACCTCGATGTGACAACGAATAATAAACTTTGCCCACTGCGCCATTCCCCAAGTGATTCTCTCTAATTTTGTGGCATGCCTTGTGAAAAAGTAATTTGGTAATGACGGATGATATCTAACAGTGCAATCCAAGGAGCACGTTTCATCCTGTATGGGACTCATCAAGTGTATGTGCCTGCTTTTTTAAGTGAGCAATATTTTCTCCATTAAGACACAAACAGAAGCCCGATCGCTTCAAACACAGAATTATCATCCGGTAGGCCACTAGGTCATAATAGTCACTTCTTGCACACCAACATAACAGCTGAAAAACCAAGAAAAGTTAGCAGTTACTGAAAAACAACTTCTGCCTTTACTACTGGTGCTGTGATTGATCTGTACACTCGATTTCCAACTAATATGCCACTGGTTTGAATCCCACCCTACCTATCGAGGTTTATACAGCCGTCTAGTATTAACAGGTGTTACGCAACAGGTGTGGTCCATCGCTCATTGGATAAAGGTACAAGTGATTGGTGAGAACACTTCGTTTTAATAAATGTCAAACATAGTTTTCTTATATAGTTGAGTTAAAGTATTTTACTATTCTCAGCAAAATGTCCCACAACTGATTTCCAATATAATTTCCCTTCTCGTTGACTTTATTGACCTTGAACTGTCAAGCTAACCAAATTAAATACGTTATGCCAAAATAACAAATTCATATCACTTGAGTTTATCAGCAAACTGCTGTTGAACACAAAGTACATAGTAATGAGAAACCCTGACCTGTGGGGTGAATTAGTCGGAAGTGAATTGGATGGCAACTGATGATCCCTGAAGATACTTACGCTATATTGTGAATTGATAGAAGTAAAAATCTTTGAACCATTGGATTCCGACTCAGTGTTCGGCCGGTTGACACATTCAGTATGAGGACTGAAGGTCCTGAGTTCAATCCCTTGCGAGCAATGTCGTGGATGCATACTGCTGGACAGTCGCATACTAGGACGAAACAGCTGTCAAGTGTTCTCAGATATTCAATGGTTCTCCAAATATCACTCCGTCATGACTTCTGTCTTCAGGTAAATCAAATCCTGATACACCTGAAACTAAATATTATGATAATCAAAAAAACAACTCATACTATCATATGATTGGTCAGCAAGATGCACCAATCATAATAAAGCATCATAGTTTATTTTATAGTACGTATCTATTAGACATTCACCGATTCTGGATATCCTTTTCCCAGTTCATTCATTAAAGTATCAAAAATCCAAGTTTGTGGATGAAATTTAAAATACTTAATGAAATATTAGTCACTGTGCATAGCTACAACACAGCTTTGAATCTTTAGAAAGTACGGGTGAATTGTTTGTGATATCGACTCGTCAAAAGAACTTGGTTCTGTCATTGTTCAATGTGGTTTACTGATCGGTAGGGCAGTTTGAATGTTGACCTGCACAATTACACAATAAAATTAAATTAAGGTGGAGAAAAAAACTTGATAAAAAACTGCTTGGATTTGTAGTTGGTATTCACCACAGGGTGGACAAGTGTTTCGTCCCATTATGGGACTCCTCAGCAGTACATACCCATCACTTCTTCAGGGATGTGTTCACTAGACAGCTTACTTCCTTACTCACCATTAATGAAATATGTCATTTCGGACGACTAGAAGAAATCTAAGCAAAATTAACACAACATAGATTTCATATTTTCTTACTCTTACAGCAAAGCCCACCAATGGTCTTCAGAACAACTCCGAATACTTGTGCGTTAAAACTTCAGGGGATCCATTTTTGAAGCAAACTAGGGGTCAAACATAAAAGTTTGCTGCTGCACTTTGAGTTTTCATATGGTCATACATGCAGTACATCACTTGGTAACTTCTTAGAGGCTATCAGGTGAATAAATAACCAATTGAAATCAAAGTTTCATAAGGCGCTGTTAGCTGGTTAGAGACTATTCACTATCTGAATCTCTGGCCGGCATTCTGAACGTTTCATATTCACATTTCAGATGCATAATTAGCTACTCTCTGGCTTGAGATAAGGCATATTAATTAAGCTTGACGCATATGAAATTTTGGTAAGAAGGAGTTTGTCAACAGCCATCTGCCATGAGTAAACTCAGTATTTCTCTTCCTTTTCCTTACTGTCTAAAATAAGTTTTTTTTCGTGCATCTTTAAGTTAGTTGTGATTAACAGAGGCTAGAAAAACCTGGTGAACATTCATATTTCGCGAAAGATAAGTCTTCGACTGACTGGTATCCGGTGTGAGAGAATAAAACCAATGATGTTCGCTTCCATAAAATAGACATTATTTGCTCTCATTCAGTTTAGAGTAACATCAGGTCAACATCTATTGATGTGCAACAGTGGACATTCACACGGACTCAAAAGTTGACTGACCATGAATGTCGATGCTAATTATTCAACAAGGCCAATGGAAATCTGAACAAATATTCTGGTCCTTCTAGTGTAAATTTGTATTAAGGTGAGAAAACTTTGGTAATTGCAATATCCAGTGACTGCATAGTTTGTAGTCGTTAGCTAGAAAACTCGCAGCAACCTTTTTTTGATTTCGAATAGTTGACTGGAAGTATATGCCTCCCTGTAGTGCCGTTTCGTTTAAAACTTAACTTCATCACGGGACACTTGAAATAGCACAGCAGTGCGCATCAGAAAACTGAGTTATGATAGCCACCCATTTAAAATCTAGGAGCGCTGGACAATTTTTTCGTCCCAGTACAAGACTCCTCAGTACTGCAAATCCACGACCTCCAGGGATCCAGCCTAGAATCTTCAAGCCTCGCTATGATAACATTGCCGTTCACGGTTCATATTTTCATACTTCTGTCTATTCGTGGTGTAGCATGACCTTTATTCAATGTCAGCAGCGAGAATTCGTTTTACTTCCAACTTGAAGGATCCTTCAGGTCACAGCTTTTCATTAGAACTTCGGAAAATCGATCTCGAAGCGTGTCACTGAAGAATACCAAACAGTAATTCAATTTGGAGGTTTGTGGAGACTGATTTATTTTTTTCAATTAATGTTTTGTCACAGTAGGAAGTTCTAAGCATATGATATTGCAGCATACCTCTCCCCACTCCTGCCTCAAGTATAACATCAACAGAAATGATTATGGCAACCAAGTGATGTAAAATAACTATCTACTTGCCTCCACAAAGTTGATGAGTAAGTTATTTTCTAACAACTCTGCTTTCACACAAGATTTGTACGAAATAAAGACGTAGTTGAGTTTTCATATTAAACTGAACCCACATTAATTCTCGTCAACTTTCTATATATCCTCCTTGAGGAGAAGACAAAGAAAATTTTATAAATGCAAACGAGGTTAAAAGTTCGATAAATGATTGTGACCAACCCCTTGAAAGACTTCAGATGTCTGTCGTCGATATTGTCATTCACGTAGGTCAGAGGTACACCAGCAATTTCCAGAGTCCAATACAATGTAATAGAGTATTATTTCATGAGTTAATCACCAACAGGTAACCCATTTAGCTACCTAGTATCTAGTCTATTTCGATCAAGTTTTGCAGTCTGACCATTGAGAAAAGTGATGCAGCACTGTGGCGCACAGTGTTTATTTGCTAGATGGTGGAAGTTAGCTGGTAGGAGTAGGCTGGCATAGGTTCTGCGCCTGTTGACACTCATTAGCAAGGTATATTTGTAACCATGAAAAAATTTGTGCTCGCTCAGTAATTTGAACCTGCATTGCTCAGTGCTGACGTCGGACACTTAACCACCAAGCTACTCAGGTCATGACTGACCCCACTGTAGAACTAGATTATGAACACGAGTTGATCAACAGAGGATGAATGGTTTAACTCTTTGGTCTTTTGTGGTTAGAGTAGATCAAAGTTTGTTGACCGAGTTTTGCAAATCAGTAAGAATGATGAACGGTTAAATCTAGATATTATTTCATAGTTAAAGCATTAGATGAGTTATGCTAGGCGGTTGCAGCTACTGTGCGTCATATACCAAATAGAATGTCCTACAAAAATAAGAAGAAAAACTGGCTGATAATCAACAACATTCTACAGTACCACCCTTAATATTACACGAGTCATTTGACTGTTGTAGTTTACTCAACTTCTCCTCCAATATGAAATTGAAGGTAACAACCTGAAATTCAGAAAGATTAGACTTGAGATCACCTTCTAAAGACTGCTGGTTACTGTCTAAAGATAAACCATTTATTTACGAATAATATAATG